AATAAGCTAAATTAATTTTACAAACATCCATACGAAACCATAACAAAACAAGAAAACAAGGATTAAAAAAATGAGTCTTCTCAAGATCAAACTATACACACATACACACACTCAAATCAACAAAAACAATTCTAAATAAAAATTAAATTAATTTCACGTGTATCCTCACCGCAAACCATAAAATAAGGATAAAAATGCCAAATTAAATCCAAAAAAAAAAAAAAAAAACTCAAATCAAGAAAAATAATTTGAAATAAAAACTCAATTACTTCGCGCTCATCCTTGGAGAAACCATAAAGGAAACGAGAAAAACGTACAACGAAAAAGCTTCGCAGGAAAGATAGCAGTCTATGAATCAAATGAAACAACAAAAAGAAAAATCATTTTTTTAGAAAATCAAAAGAAATCTTATGCAATCATACAGATCAGATTATAAAAAACAATCAGCAAAAAAATAGATATCGAAAGCAAAGGATTTTTCTTTCGAATAGAGATTGAGAGAATACCTTGTAGGGATCCATGGCGAGATAAGAGGAAAAGAAGATTTTCGTCGAGAGAGAGAGAGAGAGAACCGAAGAAGAAACTCTCAGTCGTGTGGGCAATCTGTTTTGGAAAGAGCAAATTTTATTATTTATATATAGAGGCGTGGGGTCATTTTCAACCGCCTAACTCTCCTTTTTGGCTCGCGTTTCTATTTTTCTCATTTTTAAAAATAATATTCATTGCTTATCCACGTTTTTCTTAAATACCACTCTTATTATAAGTTTGTTTTCCTAATTAAAGTGACAAAAAAAATAAAATACGTCATTCGGTTCATAATAAGTAATTAATTTATCTTTTTATTTTAATCTAAAATAAGTATTCATTTACATAATTAAAAAAAAATTAATTTTATTATTCTAAAATTTACCCTTCTTTACATATTTCAATATGTCAAGGCAATAATTAATTAAGGTTAATTTAGTAAATATATATATTTTTCTCTAGGAGTCCGTATTTCATTAATGAATGTGTCAAAGGTAAAATGATCACTTATTGTAGACGGAAGAGAATCATATTGTTTTCACCATATAAATTTTAGTTTTACTCTGTAATGTAATCTAGTAAATCACGTAGTCAAATTTTGAATTTACCAAAACATGTAAAACTTTTATGTTAGAAATTAGGGCATGGGTGAGGAATTGTATAGTCAATTTCAAGTGCTTAAGAAGAGGGTCATAAAACTAGCTAATTTATGATAGTCTTACAATACAAATATCATTGTACTTGTAATATTAGATGAATAAAATATATAATCTCTAAACTTTAATAGTTAATACTAAAAGTCTCAAAATCAATATCAATTTATAAATTTTTAAATTATATTATAAATATCATAAGGTTTGAATTATAATTTGGTTAATAAATAGTTGTCACCTAACTGTGGATTGCACATAATCTGAAACTAAATTAAAGAAGAGGGTCCGCGAATCAAAAACTTGTACTTTATGCAATGATTTTTTCCCTTTTTGTGGTGAATAACATTAAGATATTTCTGCATCTGAAAAAAATAATAGATCTGAATTTTGGTAGTAATAAATAATTTCACACGTCATTGGAAGGGGAAAAAAGAGTTTTGTTGAGGACGTGAGTTCTTATCCAACTTTTGGAGTTTATCAAAAGCTAAATCACAGCCACCAGTTAAAGACGTTAATGAGTTGGGCCGTTATGATGACGCCACGTGTCACGGAAGGACCTAGAACTGTGTGCAAAGCCCAGAAATATTCCAAAATGGGCTTGAGAAAGCTATCTTGGACTTATTTGGTGAAATTTAAAAATAGCTAAATTTATAAATAATAATTAAAAAATATATAGTCATGATTTTAAAAGCAATCAAAATTTAGTCATTTTTGATATAAAAATAAATATAAACAAAAATACTGTTCAAAATTCGAAAAATATTCTAACATAATTTATTAAAGTTTGAATTTTTTTACATGTTAACTTCCAACATATTATGATGGAATTCCAGTACAGTATATTATGATGGAGTTTCAGTATAATTTATACTGAAATTCCATCATAATATACTGGAGTTCCAACATAAGATACTGGTCCAACATAATATGCTGGAAGTTCATACACATGTCCTCTAATCTCCAGTATATTATGCTGGAACTTTATGTGTGTTGGAATTCCAACATAATATGCTAAAAGTTCATACACAGGTGCACCAATCTCTAGTATATTATGCTGGAACTTTTTGTGTTACAGCAAAATAATAACTATTTATCAATAACTTTACAAACGTTGATTATTTTTCAATTATCACTCCAAAAACAGACCAACCCCTCCTAGTTTTTACACGGGATTATGCAAGTGTGAACGCAGCAGAATTAATGGAGATTCTGTTCATAGGGATTAGTACAGTATGGGCCGTTCTGCTACTCATTAACTTTCTGGGCCCACCAACAACATTTATACGACGTTTATTGTTGTTTCGATTTTAGTGGTTCAATAAAGGAAATTTTACCTTATACATCATATTTATTATAAATCAAAATTATTTTAAAATATTATTTTTTATATTTTATAATAAAATAAATATTTTATGGTATATATTACCATTGAGGCATAAAACAACTAGACATACCTATTTTTAAGGGATTATCGTTACTGTATTCATGAATACATGACGCGAATACATGTGAATACATGCGCGTACAACTGTATTCATGAATACAGCAGCGCGAATAAATGTGAATACATGCGCGTACAGCTGAACTCCCCTGATTTTAGGTATTTTTTGCTGCTGGATTCGTGAATACATGGCACGAATACATGCGCGTACAACTGGACTGCCCTGATTTTAGGCGCTTTTTGCTGCTGTATTCATGAATACAGCAGCGCGAATACATGTGAATACATGCGCGTACAGTTGGACTGCCCTGATTTTAGGCACTTTTTACTGTTGTATTCATGAATACATGACGCGGATACATGTAAATACATGCGCGTACAGCTAGACTGCCCTGATTTTAGGCATTTTTTACTGTTATATTCATGAATACAGTATCGCAAATACATGTGAATAAACTACAGTAATAACTGAATAGTAGTTATAGGAAGTAATTATGTATATGATAGCTATAGAAAGTTAATAGCCACTAAACAACAGTGGTTTCTGAAAATTCCTCTTGAATAAATCAATGGAAAGGCTGTAACTTTGTTTCCACATGTCATTTCAGTTGTAAATTTATACTTCTTTTGTCTCATATTAACAGTCGTGGTTATTAAAAATAGTTGTCTCAAATTATTTGTCATTTTAAAAGTTCAAGATAAAATTGATTATTTTTTTTCTTTTTACCCTTAATAATAATTGTTCTTGAAGATGGAGATAACATATAAATAGAACAAATATTCAATGAATAGAAATTATATCTTAAGACATAAATAAAGATAGAATGATCCAATCCCTTTTCATATTAATATTTTTTAAGGGGTGTGTAAAAGAGAAACACGACGAGACTGATGGAGTAATTTCTCAATCTCATGTGCAAGCTGGAATCCAGTTCCAAACCAACAAGAAAACCAGAACGAAAATAGGAACCTCCCAACCAAGAAGCGAATTAAGAGAACGCGGAACGACCTGACCAGTAGCATTGATTTGAGTTTTCCCCGAATCAGACTTACATTTCTAGCTAATATTTTTATCCCTTTTCTAGTGATCTATAACGTCAATTATTATTCATATTTTTTTTAAAACTTAGAGCAATCAGTTAAGGTGGTGGTCTTTTTCGGACCCTGCATAAAAAGACCCTGTATGAATGTGAGATATTTTGTGAATCGATAGTCCTTTTTATTATATGGGGAAACAAGATTAGTTGGGGCGCAACCCTTTTTGGATCCTCCGTGAACGTGAGATATTTTATGCACTGGACTATCTCTTTTATTACATAGGGAGACGGGATCAGTTGGGGTGCGGTCATTTTCGTATCCTGCGTGAACGTGAGATATTTTGTATATCGGACTGTCGTTTTTATTATAAGGGAAGACGGGAAAGGAGAAGGAGAAAGGTTGTAATTGGAGTGAACATACACTTCTTGTGCACAAAACTTCCACTAATACCATTAGACTATGGCGGTCTCAATTGATATTGATTTCGAGAGATAATTGTCAATAATTTTCGCGATTAGCATACATTCAGCAACTACAGCAATTGCTTATAATATATTTTGACGTATATGTATGCTTCTAAGTTGCATTTTATGACTACGTTCTAAATTTTGATAAACAAAAATATAATAAAACGAAGCAACTACTACATACTTGGGAAGATACAACCAAGCATCTTTCAAAAAAGAATCTTTTCTCTTACCAACTATGCTAATTTGATTTGACCAAATCTAACAAGTTACTATCTTTTCGATATAACCAACCTATGCTAGTTTGACATTTACCCGCATTTGACTTTTAAGTTCTTTAATTGTGTAAATATTTTCTAGTGAATACTCTTCGATCATTTTTACTTAGCACGTTTTTGACTTTTTACACACTTTATAAAACAATGATTTACACAGTAATTTTACCACAATAACCCTATTAATTGATACTCAATAATTGAACCCAAATTCCCAAATAACTTCTTAAGAAAAAAATACTCCAAAGAACAAGAGAATAAAAAAATGACTTTAGTGAACTTTTGTGTTTAACAAGGGTGTGAATTCCAATATTGAATATTGGAAAGCTATAATTGACCATTATTTATTCAAGAAATGCTGGTTAATGAATTAAGGGTAAAACATGAAAGAAAAAAATTGTCTTTTCTTGATATGCATAAAGTGACAAGTAAAAATGAAAATCTATTTTTAGTATACCGCCAAGTAAAAGTGAACAGAGGAGTATAACTTTACTTTATAGCACTAGCCGTAGATAGATGGAAACGTCAGGATGGAGAGGGCTAGTCTACCTAATATGCAAATCTTGAAAACATAGGTCAAAGAACAAGGAAAGCATATAAATAAAGTGGAAGCAAAACTTCAGAAGATGAAACAAAACAAATGTACAGATAGTATGAACTGATTATACCCAAATGAATACCAAAGTTCAGTTCCGGATGACTTCTTCTTCTTGATCCCTAGAGGGCTAATCCAAGTAAAAAGCTCGCTATCAAAAAAAAATACTATTAATGTTTAAAGAAGCCTACAGGCTCTGCTCAAGATCTTGTAACCTGTGAAGCAGAAGGCTGGAAATAGGCCGTGCATCAGTGCAACACGAGTTATTGTCATTAGACTCGCGCTCATCATTTCTTGGTTGGGACTAATGGAGGTGTCTGCGTTATGTTAGTAAACAAGGTGGATTTTCCCAAAACATTTAGGGCCTTCACTCGTTGCATCTCCTTTCCTGCGATGATTAGAAAAAAGGGAAATTTTATTGAACTGTTCTTGTGTTGGTCGCTTTCTGAAAGTTTAGCAAAAGCGCCATTAGTGAATGGAAACCATGAATGTGAATAAAGAACTCGCAAGAGTAAATTGAAGGCTTAAAGCCTCAGTCTTGATTTCTTTGAAACCAGTGGCAATTTAGGAAGCTTTCAAACCGATATTTCCCTCTCCAATTCCTCATTGTGCACGTTAGCAAATAAAGCCACTAAATACCTTCCTCTAGACTTCCATTCTATGTGTTTCAAACCTAAAATGATTTTTCGCAGCAACTAATGAATTACATATTTCAGGACAGTGTTATCAAAGGCGAAAAGCGCAAAAAAGCTCTAAGGTATGTTGGGGCTTTAAGCGCAAAGCGCAAATAAAGCGTAGGCTTTAACGAAGAAAGGTGCAAATGGAGAAAAACTACAAAAATGTATGTGTAGTCCAAAACTAATATCTATAAGCATGAATACCAAATATATGGACTAAGAAATTGAAGAAAATTTACAATAAAGTGAAATATCAATTATTTAGTGTGGCCTGTTCAGGATTACGCTCATTGGCAAGGAAAAGTATGCCTTAGAGCTTTGATGACAACGCTGAAGCGCCCGCTAAGCGCGGCGAAGCGCTCAATATGTTTTGAGTCTCGCTTAAGGGCGTAACTAAGCGCACCTTTGATAACACTGTTTCAGGAGAGGCAAATTTGAATCCAGCACTTAGCCATAGTGCCTAACACGGATATATTGACTCAAGCATGCTCCAGGCTGCTAAATAACCCCACCAACAAAACATCTCTAGGAGTCATTTTGTTGCGACATCAGTCTATGGAATACGTGGGTGGTAAGCTTAACACTTGATTTATTACAAGAACACATCAAGTTAAGTTAACCAAAAATGCAAGAGAAGAGACTGAACTAGCCAATGCAACAGCATCTACCAACACATTCAGTTGCTTCATCAATTCACCACAGATTATGGTGGCAATACGGAAAGCACCAGTACCACATCTGATGACATTATAAAGGGGCCCCTCCTAGCACTTACAAATGACGGTTTGGAGACAAAACAAAAAATTCCTTAGGTGGCATTTGTTTTCAAAAATTGTAGAAAATTTCTTTCAATTTTGCAAAAAGAAAGAAAGAAAGACATGCAACCAAACCCCATCGGAGAAAAGTTTTTCTGTTTTTGAAACATACGCTAAAGTCCACTCTCTTTCTGAAAGTTTAACCTTACAGACCTTAACTTGAACCCAAAAACCAATGAAATGTATGGTCAGCTCACTCCCCCCATTCTAGCAGAATTGTCTGACTGCTTTTCTTTAACCAGCATTCTAACTAATTTACACCATTAATTTACTCTTAAAAGCTTTTTGCTTTACCCATAGTCATAAACACACGTATAAATAGACATATCAACAAGAAGCAAGCTTTCACCAAAATCAGTAAAGGTTTATCCGTAACTAAGAAGTAAAGTTTTATTCATTTGAATATATACATGCATACATCTACACATGTGAACCATTCAGAAATTCTCATCCATTAAGGGTAGGAGAAAAAACCAATAGTTGAGTGTCAGCTCACCTTCCTCTATTGTCAGCTGGATAGCCCTTTTCTCCAAATCAACAGCATGTCTGCTAAGCTCAGCTGGTGACAAATGTAGAAGCACTGATTGAAAGACAAATCATACAAACAGCATTAATAAGCAGTCAAACAGAAATTAGTTAACTACTGAAGCTATGTAGCAGGACTCTAACACTCACTCTGAATGTAATCTGTTCGGTTCAATTCATCACACTGTTTCAGGAACTTCTGCAGACGAATAAAATGTTCTGTCAATTGTTGATCCTCCACCTTGACATCCAAATTAAGCACTGGCTCTGGAGAAAATTTAGAAGAAACAATTTGAGCAGCATGAGTGCTGTTGGCGGCCTTGCCAAGAGAATTAGGAATTGACGGTCCACCACGTGAATATGTCGTCATAGGTGTCAAATGGTTTGGCATTGCTACAGGAGGATGACTACTACTACCCTCTCTCTGTTGATTTTGTTTTTGAGGAATTTCTCTCTGCAACTGACACGGATGCTTTGATGCCTGAGTACCCTCCACAAATTTATCCACACTGTTCTGCATTCTTCCCTTACCTAGTTCTAAATCAAATCTTCTTCGAGCATTTAGTATATGTTCATTCGTACCATTGCTGCTCAAAGACATATTAGAATTGGTACTTGAAGGGCGCTCAGGTGTAAGCCTCTTAGTTCCGCACACCCTAGTTGGATCTGCAATAGGTCTTGCCCCTAAAAAAAGTGAATTTTCTTGATGACTACTTATCAAGCTGCTTTTTTGGTTCTGCACGTCTCTCAAAGCTGTCTTTCTCGTTACACCAGGCAGCTGCTTATCAAACGTTGGCCCAACAGCTCCACTATTGGTGACACCACTTCGAAGGGGTTCGGAGTTGATCATTTTGAGATTATTCTTGGTACCTTCCGGAAGTAGATAATTGTCTAAATGAAGCCTGATCAGAAAGCAAAGATGTAGAATATATCATGCTTCCTTAACGTTACGAAGACTCTCGAAGAAGATGGTTGAGAGGAAAAAACAGAACTCTTAATGGATTTTACCTATATGAAGAAGATTTAAGAGTCAGTAAGTCACCTTTTTATACACTGCCGGGGAAGTGCACTTTATTCTTACATTTGTACAACATAAAATGGTGTTTCCCGGGGATACTAAACTAATTTTTCGCAGTTGGAGGTACAGGAAGACACCGAAAACTACTACATAGATACTTTCTGTTTGTTTGGTACAAACTCAAACTTGTAGTTAAGGGAATAAACTAATTTGTTTATGCAGTTTCTCTACCGTTTTCTCGGGAAAAAAAAGGATTACTAGTACATATCGAAGCATAGAGAAAGGAGTCCTATATTAGGAGAAACTCCCAAATCCCAACGACCCATGTCCTGTTAACTGAAGATAAAGAAGCCAATAAATACCAGCTCTTTATTTGTAACAAATTATCATCCAGTAGCATAATTCATAACTATTTCAAGAACATTGACAGCAACCAATTTCATGAGGTAAAAAAAGTATTTAGTAAATTACTGTTGTATATAGATAATGCCGAAAATCATTACTCAGAGCTAACTCTTACAAGAAAATATATGGCTAAGCAAATATAGATCTGTTTGGAAAATATTTAAATAAACTCCTTAAAACACATTGAGCATTTGATGGACAAACATTTCCTGTATACTCGGCTAATTACTTACTATTATAAACAAATACAGTAAATAGATAAATACTTTCCCAAAAATTAACAACAGCCAAATAAGTACAAACAATAAAATAAGATAATGAAGGACAAAAAAATTTGAAAAAAAAGCAAAATAAATAATTTAAAAAATCAGCTTAGAGTAAAATTAAGAACAAGCATGTTTCTTCTATATAAATAAAATAAAAATTAAAGCAGTCGCTCACTACCGAAATTGTACACAGAAGATTCTAGAAGCACCCACAAATCCTCTAAATCTTCGTATAAAAATGAGAACCCACCTCCGAAAATTTCCAATTTTTGCCTATAACTATGAATGTCAAATTAAAGAACACATTTTCAATTTTTAAATATTTTATTAACAAAAACTCATATTTCAAAAAATAAAATTCAAATTTATGGCAACAAAGATCGAAAGTTTTTTGGAGATAAAACGTCGAAAACGAGTGAGATTTCTCAAAGGGTACTTACTGTAAAAGCTGATTATAGAAACTGTGCGCAAAGTTGGAGAGACGGCGCCAGTAGGAGAGGGGTTTCAAAAGAGGCAACTTTGGCTCCAAATATTTATTAAAAATAAAATTTGCCGAATTTGTTTCATTTAAAATCATAAATATCTACAGCCCTTTATTACTTTATTTCCTGAAATGTCCTTTAAAGTGGTTAATTTACTTGAAATTGACATTATCCATGACCAGATTTTGACAAATGCACGAGACTTTAGTGACTTATTATTTACACTAAAAAATAAAATAGGAAGCACGAGAAAATGTTTTTTAATTGTACAAATTTCTGTTTCACTATTGGTGAACAACTAATCATAGGGTCATTTGGTTTGACGATGGTGATTATCATAATTACAAGATTACTTAATGGATGAATTCTAAATGGCAATTGCGTAATACGTGAATGAATTTAAGGTATGTATATATACTTGTTATGAAAATAATTATATTGTGGATGTCAATTTATTACTCCGCTATAGATCTCAAGAACATTATTCATTTAGTACTCTGTTGAAGTTTATCTACAAGCAGCTCAATGAAATGATTTGCAACAGTTTCTTATTAAATAGGCAGGTTGCAAGTAGCTCATGCAGACATCTTACAAGCACCTAAAGAAAAATCTTGCAATTACTTCCTGAAAAGCCTTGCAGCTGCTTCCTTTCTTCTATAAATAGAAGAGTTTTCAGTTCATTGTGTACATAAGTTTGAAGTTTGAATAATATATCAGTTTCTCTCTATACTTGTCTTTACTTTACAGTCTTTATTTTATAACACGTTATCAGCACGAGACTCTGTCATCTCGAGCAAATACTTTAAAAGTATCACAGGTACAGACTTTTTTTTTTCTAAATAATGTCAAATCTTTCTAAACTTGAATTTGTAGCCCTGGATATATCGGGCAAAAGCTACATATCTTGGGTGCTTGATGTCGAAATTCATCTTGATGCGATTGGTCTGGCAGACACCATCAAGGACAAAAATCAGGCATCAAACCAAAACCGTGTCAAAGCAATGATATTCCTACGCCATCACCTTGATGAGGGCCTAAAAATATAATATCTTACTGTTAAAGATCCAGTTATACTGTGGGATAATTTGAAAGATAGATATGAGCACCTAAAGATGGTCGTTCTTCCACATGCACGATATGATTGAACTCATTTGAGGCTACAAGATTTTAAATTTATCAGTGAGTATAATTCTGCTATGTTCAGAATTATTTTTCAATTAAAATTATGTGGTGATAATATTATTGATCATGATATGTTCGAGAAAACTTTCACCATTTTTCATGCCTCGAATATGCTCATGCAACAGCAATATCGAGAGATGGGATTCAAAAAGTATTCTGAACTTATCTCACATCTTCTTGTAGCCGAGCAACATAATGGGCTATTAATGAAAAATCATGAAAGTCGACCTACTAGTTTTTGTCCATTCCCTGAAGTAAATGAGACGAACTTCCACCAAGCTAAGCGTGGAAGAGGACATGGCTCCAGTCATGGTCGTGGTCAGGGAAGAAACACTAATCATGGTAATAATGATACACCAAAGAACCATCCTCACCACCAGCAGTGAAAAAGGAAGGGACAAAAGCATGAAGCGGTGCAAGCAGCAAACACAGAAAATGCATGCTATATATGTGGAGGAAAAGGGCACTGGTCACGTACATGTCGTACGCCAAAGCACCTGGTTGAGCTGTATTGATCCTAATACATACATCTTCAAGATGGTCTCATGTGTACCTACTATCATCTCGCAACCTGGCGTTTGCAAAGTTATTAGCCCAAATAATTCGATTAAGGGCACAATTCCCAGATTATCCTATAAAGGCTATTCGCCTTGATAATGTTGGAGAATTCTCATCTCAAGCTTTTGATGATTACTATATATCAGTTGGGATAAAAGTTGAACATCATGTAGCTTATGTTCATACTCAAAATGGCCTTGCAGAGTCATTTATTAAACGCCTGCATTTGATAGCAAGACCACTACTTATGAAAACAAAATTGCTCACTATTGTTTGGGGCCATGCTATCTTGCACGCAACATCACTTATCCGTCACAGACCGACACATTATAATAAATATTCTCCATCATAATTAGTTTTTGGTCATGAACCAAATATTGCTCATCTACGAATTTTTGGATGTGTTGTATATATGTCAGTAGCACTACCACAGCGCAATAAGATGGGCCCGCATATAAGGTTAGGAATATATGTTAGGTTTGAATCACCCTATATTATTTGCTATCTTGAACCATTGACGGGAGATTTATTTACTGCTCGATTTACATATTGTCGGCAATTAGGGGGAGAGAAAAAGAGAAATTTTGTGAAAAGTTTCATCATTATCTCATTTTTATCCACATAACCCTATATGTAATCAGGAGGTCCAGAAGATCATGCATTTACAAAATATAGCAAATCAAATGCCAGACGCGTTTACTGATTTGAAAAGGATAACTAAGTCACATATCCCTGCAGAGAATGTACCTATCCGAATTGATGTCCTAGCAGGACCATCTACTAGCATGAGAGCTAGCGAATCTAAAGCACGCCTAAAACGTGGTAGGACTTTGGGTTCTAAGGATCGAAATCTTCGAAAAAGAAAATCAACAAATGATCAAAACGATAATATAAAAGGATCTCCTGAAGAGACCCAAGATCTAATTAGTTCTGAGATTCCTGAAAAAATCAATGAATCCGAGACTCAAGTGATCGAGGAACTTTTAATAAGTTCTAATGGTGATGGGATTAATTTAAATCGATCTAAAATAGTGATGGATAATATTTTTGCTTATAATGTTGCACTTAACATTATGCAAGATAGTGAGGATCTTGAACCCCGATCTGTTGAAGAATGCCGACAAAGATCTGATTGGCCAAAATGGCAAGGGGCAATTCAATCAGAATTGAACGCACTTGCTAAAAGAGAGGTCTTTGGACCAGTAGTCCAAACACCTACTGGTATAAAATCAATTGGTCATAAATGAGTTTTTGTGCGAAAAAAGAATGACCAAAATGAAGTTGAAAGATACAAGGCTCGCCTTGTCGCACAAGGATTCTCACAACGACATGGAGTCGATTATGAAGAAACATATTCACCCATTATGCATGCCGTAACATTTCTATATCTCATCAGTTTAGCCTTACGTAAAAGGCTTGAAATACATATGATGGATATTGTTACAACTTATCTGTACGGGTCACTTGATAATGAGATTTACATGAAAATTCCTGAAGGATTTAAAATGCCCGAAGCATATTCGAAATCTCGGGAAATGTATTCAATCAGATTACAAAGATCTTTGTACGGTTTAAAGTAATCTGGGTGCATGTGGTATAATCGCCTTAGTGAATATTTGCTGAAAGAAAGTTACATAAATGATGTTATCTGTCCATGTATTTTTATAAAGAAAATGACGTCAGAATTTGTTATATTTACTGTTTATGTTGATGACATAAATCTTGTTGGAATTCCAAAAGAGCTCCAAAAGGCAATTGAATATCTTAAGAACGAATTTGAGATGAAAGATCTTAGAAAGACAAAACTTTGTCTTGGATTGCAAATTGAATATTTAGCGGACGTGATTTTTATACATCAATCTGCCTATACATAAAGGGTTTTAAAAGCGCTTTTACATGGACAAAGCGCACCAATTGAGTACACAAATGATTGTTCGATCACTTGAAGTGAATAAGGACCCGTTCCGACCTCCATAAGAGGATGAGGAACTCCTTGATCCTGAAACACCTTATCTCACTGCAATTGGTGCACTTATGTATCTTGCTAATGCTACAAGGCATGACATAGCATTTTCTGTTAATTTACTAGCAAGATATAGCTTGATGTTTGGCATATTTCGATATGTGTTAATGTTACTTTACCCATGCTTTAACCACTTTTTGATGTTATTTAATCTTTAAAACACCCAACATGGTGTAATTATTGGTTTGATGACTAATTAAGTTATGTGTGACGATTTAAGGTGTTCGGAGTGCAAAATATGAAGAAAAGGTGGTTTAGCTAGAGGAAGAAGGGTTGGATGCGTCGCATCCAACCTAGGAAAACATCATCCTGCATGCAACCTTAGCAGTGAAGTTG